TCTCTTTTCAGATTTATTGTGAGAGTAAATGTTGCGAGATTGATCCAATGAAGCTAAAACAAGGCGATAGTTTGGAATCGAATAAGGTTAACACTTAACATTTAAAATAAGCAATGATTAAAATACGAGAAGCTATCAATTATTACGGAGAGCAAATATTCTTGCTGGTAGCTTACATTTGTTCATTTCATGACCATCAGATTTAGATAATTAGAAATTTTAAATGTTTTGCTTTCTTGCTATTAATTTAAAGCTCAGTTTTATTATATTGCGGTTTTTATTAATTTTCCAGTTAAATCTGATAGTATACGGTGAGATAGCATTTTCACGAGTAGTCGATTCAAGTCATCGTTGTCCGTTGGTATTGCGCGAAATGTTTTCCGATTTACGGGAACTTGCAAGACAGCATTTTCCTGGTCGAGAAGATATTCAGCGATTGGTGCTTAGCTCCTTCATTATCATGCGCTTCTTTGCGGCTGCTCTTATGAATCCGAAATCATTTGGGCTCAAACGTGATCAACCGGTTGGTTTTTTCTAGCAAATTTGTTTTTCACTCTTTTTTTTTTTGAGATATTTGCCACAATTTTCATAAATTGAAAAAGACGCATTTAAAGTATTGTTTTTTTTTTTTTTTTAAAAAAATGTTTTTCATGGATTTTTAACGAGAATTTTTTTTATTTCACACTGCTGAAATTGAAATGTTTTGGTTCGAATTTCCAAAAAATTCAAAACTTCGGCTTTATTTTATCGCCTAATCTTTTGCTTCAGGAAGGTGTTGTTTGTCGTACATTGGTGCTCCTGTCAAAAATACTTCAACGTCTCTCGAACTGCGTTGTTTCTGCGAATTCACTTACTGAAAAAGAGCCGTGGCTGTCATCAGTTCTTGAGAGGTTCATTTTTTTTAGGGAAAGCGATTTACATGTAGTCGTTTTGTTTTAGTCCTTGTGCTGGAGTGACTGTTATGTTCAAAATTAAGTAGAACTTGCAGGTTCACAGATGAACAACATCGGCTCGCAATGTTGAAGTTTCTTAATGCAATATCAATGGCGGAGAATGCCACAGATGTGAATGGTGAAAATCTCTCAGTTGTTCGTGATGGGTGAAATTTTTTGACATTCTCTTAAATGGATTTTTGATTTATGATCTTGCGAAATGCTTTATTATTGTGCTATCAGATGACAAGTTAATCAAATTCTCTACCCTTCCTCAGTATTACCAATATGTCAGAATATTTCATTCTTTCAGCAATTGATGAAAATATAATATTACGAGGTCATTATTTTCACGTTAAAGACGATCCATTTAACAATAATTTAACAATAATCGTAATATTTTAAGAGGGAAATTTAAGTATTAAGTAATTTATAGATTTTTCATCGAAAGAAAAATTCGAGAAAAGCGTCGGATACTGAGAAATTTAGTGAATCAAAAGCGACGATACGTTGTGCTAACAGAAAATGAGATTTGCTGGCAGAAAACAAAAGGTTTGCTTGTACTTAATTTTTTGCAACTTAAAATTGCGTCTTACTTGGTATTTTATCTGCGTAAATCCCTGCTGTATTCCGCTTTGCTGAAAATATTTTTATAAATGAAAAATCAGCCACTTTCAAATATTTAACATCTTTTTTTTCTTTTTGAATCATTTTTTGAGATGTTTCTACTCCACTCAGACCCATTATTTATCAGAAAAGCTATATTTTTTTTTTTCACACATTAAGTTAATTTATTTCAGCAGATGCAGAACCGAAAGGCCGAATGAGGCTCCAAGAAGTGAACCAGATAGAACCAGTGGTAGATGCGAAAAATGTTTTCAGGATAGCATCACCGGATTGTGAAATTCAATTTCAGGCGCCGAGCACCGTTGAAATGAATGAATGGTTAGGTATTTTGTCTTTCTTAAATTGAAATAATTTTTGAGTTGAAATCAATGAATTTACATTCAGAAGAACAAAATTTAAATTGGATAGAATTTCAAGGTGGATTTGAAATTTTAGGATAGTGCAAATCCAAAAACAGCGGAAGCGGCAACTTATGATTGCTTTGCGTACGAACGAATCAAACGATGCATTTGAAATAGATACTGAACGAGAGCTTGAGGCAATTCATGCCATACTTTATGAAAATGCGGAAACACTAAAGCAGTGGAAGAATACACTGGAAGGAACGGAGATTCCGGTTGGACATCCATGTATACCAAGTGCATTACAGGATCAGGTTCATTTTTAAAATAATGAAGATTTCTTATCATTGTGAGACGGTTTTATTTTGCTTATCATCCATTATTTTCAGCTGAAAAATAGTGAAAATCCAGAACAAGCGAAGCAGCTGTTTTACAGTACTCTTCAAGAAATTTTGCACAGTACTTTACTAATCGAAAAGTCACACGATGAAATTGTTAATCGTTACATCAAACAAGTAATACTTTCTATATAATTGCATTTTTTTTAATGTTGATTTTCTCCATTTGGAAAAATAACAACCTATTAAAATAACAATCAAAAGTTTAATCATACTACAAAAAATGATAAAAATTATTTAGGAATGGACTTAGAAGTTCAACATAAATTGAATAAGATTGACGTATTCTAAGATTACGTGAAACTTATACATCTTTAGATTCGTTACGGTAAAGGGACGCGGGAACTTCCTATCGGTGACGATAATTATTTGCTACTGAAATCACGATTCCGTAAAAGCACTGATAAAATCTGATATGAGCTGAAGATAAGAATGGAAAGAAAAGAGAGGAGACGAGCTGCTGAGAACGATCGACACAGTAAGGCAATTTTGTAAGATCTATTCTAAAACTCAGGAAACAAACCAAAATTTGCGAAAATGCCTTATTGTCTCTATTATATCTTTTATATATTATTTTCCTTCAAACTTTTATAATTTATTTCTCTTTTTTCTAAAGGGTCTTTTTTCTTTCAAGGTGCTTGAGTATTGTTACCATTATTTCTCTTAATTTCTCGCTCAAAATTGTTCCAAGACTTTTAGGTCTCAACTTCCTATTACCAGTTAAGTCATTTCATTCTTTTATAACTGATTACGATTTTTTTGCTGTTATTAAAAAATAGAAAATGGAATCTGAAATATTTGCCAGAGGATAAAATCAAGGAATGATAAAATAAAATACGAGTGAAGTAGATCTATAATTGTCAGATCCATTTAAAGTTTCTCATTTGTTATTTACCTCGAATGCTCCTTTTATTATTTCTCCATTGTATATATTTCTCCTCAACTTCATCAAAAAGTTGGCTGCCTCAGCTGAAAGTTGGCTTTTTGTTTGCTTTTGCCGATATTTATTAGATGTTCCATAATTTATGTTTAGAAATTTTGGCGCACTTCTTATATTAATTATCATAATTACATTTTGTTCTCTAATTTGTTCTAGTTTCCGTTAGAAGTAACTGGTATTTTTGTTTAAAATGTTAGGTGAAAGAGAAGAAAATCTGTGTATGTGTATCAATATATATGACAATATATTAAGTAAGCGTCTATAAAGGTAAATTACTATTTTTGCCATTACTCGAGTATTTTGATTTGTTTCCTTTATTATATTTATATCTCTGAGCAAATACTGCATAAACCCCTTTCATGTTACTTTGTTTATAACAGAATTACATTTAATAGTTTTGGATGTATTGCTGGGAAGGAGCTTCCACATAGGGTTATGGCTTTTCTAGGAATGGAAGAGTCAATTGACTGGCAAAGAGAGAGTCACTTGGGGAACTTCTGCCCTCATCAAAGATTGCATAATGTGCTTCAGTGAAGAATGAGAGATCATTCCTACAATTTACGTTTTCTTTTTTCTATATACTAAACAAAGAGACAGCTGTTATTTATTAAATGAACTTGAAAGGAGGACACGGAAATAGAATCCGGAAAATTCTTCACATGTTTTCACCTTCTCACACAAGAAGAACAAAGAGGAAAAATCGTCCTGTCGGAAGGAAGATGGCTAAGAAGAATGAAGAGTTTAAAATAGTGCTCTGCTCAGAATTCGCTTATTTACTTTACTTTCTGAACTTTAACAAAGGCATATAATTGATAGAATTCCTTTCCTCACAAATGTACCTAATTCCGGATCTTTGCTCAGCAATTTCTCTTCTGTACAAAATTCTTAATGTGCTTTAATTAACAATGCTAATCTCAATTAAACTATGACAGAGTTCAGGATCAAAATAATGAAACATACTTTTTGTTTCAGGTTATTTCTCCCCACGACAAAAGACAATTTATGAAACAGAACATTCTGGTGTGACTTCTGAGAAAGACAAGAAAGTTGAAATATTTATGCCAATTAATTTATTCAATTAAAGCAGAGAAGTTAATGAAAAACACATACATACACACACACTGATGCATAGACATATGGGAGTTTAGGAGGAAAAAAACTTTCTCAAAACAAAATATCACATCAAAATCTCAAAAAATGTTGCAAAACACACAATTAAAAGGCGCTTCTGTTTTCATGAGTGACCGTTAATTATGAATCATTCCGCCTTTCTCATTTGCGCCTGCCTTAAATTCCTCCTGCTCTCGAACAACATCTAAACTTAAAAATATCGTTTTGGTTTGAAATTCAGAAGACTGTAGTGCACTCTATTGAAATTACATTTTTTTTTTTACTTGTGCTAAGGTCAAATTCTAACAATCCGAAAATTTCTTAGCTCTCACTTTCCATTCGTGTTATAAATGAGGATATGATATCAGTAGTCGAAACTGAGACGAAAAACTTAACCATTCACAATTCTTTTACTTTTTTATTTTTCTATTATTTGCTGGAGCACCCTTATTTGTGTTTACAAATAAAAAGTCACGGCAGCCTCTCAAGAAATATGCTGACCATTAGCAGATGGAAGTGCTATTTTTACAACCGGATCAACATGTTTCAACTTTTCTGTATCAAAGTTCACGATCAGCGCTGGTACTTTTTCACGAGCTATGTCTAAAACAGAACATAAAGCGCTTACTTGAGTCGACTAAGGAAGTTAATATTACTCCAAACTTAAAATCCAATATTGAAGTTCCAATAAGAGCACTATAAATAAGAATACATTTTTTACTTCCAAAATTTTCTGCCAGAACAGGTCTCAGCTAGCAACCAATTAATAAAACTTCATTGAAGTCCTAACATACTCAGAATCATGAAAATATAAGTTACCAACAGATGTCGGTAATACATTTTTCTCAACAACTTCAGCGTGACGAAGTTTACTGGTATCATGTGTTTTTATTTCTCCTTTCAAATTTTCATCCACTTGTTCTCGATAGATGTCTAAAATTCAATCGATAAGTCACATCAAAACTCTTATAAAGACGTAAAGTGAAACATGTGTAAGTGCAAAAAACCTCTTGCATGTCTGTTTATTTACCGAACAAACTTCTACGAGAAATAAAATACCAAAAAAGATCATTATCTCACTTATCACCATTTCATGCTACTAAATTCATACAGTATAATTTCTCCTAGCAACATATTTCTTTTTTTGAGTATATAAATTTGCAATCTGATAACAAAAAATTACCATGTGGTTATGGAAAAAACGTTTTGCTGAGGAATAAAAACATAATTAAGATCACTATTTCTCCAATACTAGAAAAACTCCTTTATTATTGGATAGCTACGTTTCAAGTTTTCCTCATAACTTGGTAAAAACAACTTTCCTTCAACTAAATACAGCAAGTATATTTGTACAAAAAATTAGCTTCAAGATAGCAATTCGTCATGCTAATTTTGTAAAGGGAATACTTTCTTAAAAGTGATAGTAGCCTGCCGGCTATGGACTTATGGATTGCTGGGTGGAAGCATTACAATATATTAGGTTAATAGAAAACAAAATAATCTTTCTTACGAATGAATTCACAACCTTATCAATTATTGAAAATTATTTTTAATGTTTTTCAAATTGAAGTGGATATGTGGTAAAGGTATTGACAATGGCAGTATTGCACTGGCATCAGTCAATATTACTCAGGTTTTAAAGCCAAATCATTCATACTTAAAAAATGAAAAATTGCCGAGAGCTGTGGGTAAAACACTTTTTTCGCTGATTTCTACATGCTTCAGTAATTGTCCTTTGGTAACTTCTTTAGCTATATGAACAGATAACTTCGGAGCTCTTTCTTTCTTGACTTTCAATCTTTGAGCATCAATGTCTTCCATTTTAAAATGTAGTGGAAGTATACAGGTGTGATGAATATGAAATGATCTATGCACAACATCGAAATGCTATTCCGCAACTTTAAGAGCTCACAATTCATTTTATTAGTAAATTAGTCGACGAAGTGATGCACTGAAATTAAGCAGAAGTAACAATTGTAACAGTGATTGTATTAAGAGAAACTGAACAAAATTTGAGGCAATACATTTAGTAGTATAAAAGATTGAAAACTTCCAACTAGCCAAGCTGCAACATCGCATTTAGCTCTTCACTGAGCAACAGTTCTCCAGTTTCATACTTTCTCTCTCAAAAACCACTAACCATAAAAAAATAATCGATATACTTACTTCTTTGGTATAACAATAATATAATAGTAATAATAATAAATAATAACTAATAATAATTAATAACAATAATAAATTAAATAAATAATAAGTAAATAAAATAGTAATAACAAAACATTATTAATAGATGAAACGTACTGACAGAATGAAAGAAATTTTTGAAAGTGGGAAGAAAGGATGGCAAAGTAGTGAATTTGCATTATTTGTGCTCTGCCAAAGTGGCGATGAGATGTAAACTATGTCATACTCATCGCGTTGTTTGTATAGGATATCAATTAACTGTTTAGACCGGAAGCAGAACATAAGCTGTTCGCCCAATATGTAACCGTCTACTCTGAAAGGTCCATTTAATCAAAATTTGGACATATGTCGAAAATTTTTATACTTCATTTACTTCTAATCCTAATTTTTATAGTTTTACTTGCAAATATTTAGGAAAATGAATTATCAATTTTCTTCTTTTGCTGGATCTTCTTTTTTAAAAAGACATTAGGGAATGTATCATTTACCATTAGTCCACGGTGAAGTTGAAGTGTCCATCAGTCTGTGCAAAGAAAGAAACTAACATCGAAGGTAACGAACAAATTTAATGTATTCATTACCTTCGAAAAAACTGAACAAGATGGAGTGTACAAGAGCGGTGCGGAGCTATTGTCAACCAATCTTATATTGGAGGAAGCAAGGAGGAAAGGAGGCCTTCCAATAATTCAACTGGCAGAAAAAAGAAGGACAATGACACTGTCGTCATGTTCTCCTTCACAAGGACGTGGGGACGAATATTGTCATTAGAGTATGTCATGTGGCTCGTTCCCTTCATCGAGTCGATGTTATCCTTCGCCTGCAACATGAGCACTTTCCCAGAAGTTATGGGTCAACTTTCATATCATTTGAACTATAACCTCATCCTTGTACAACATATCTTGGTTATTCTCGTTCAGTGGTACATCTCGTTAATTTTTATGATTATACTTTTAAGTTCCTCAGCTTCATAACATTTATCAGGCTTATCAACGGAACAGTCCTTCGTTATTCAGTTATGTGCTGATGAAAATATCAATTTTTGAACAAATTTCGAATCCGAAAACCATTAAATTTAAAAAATAACAAAAAAGCGTTTCCTTTTTCAAAGGACGACTTGCAAATTTAATAGTAGCAGAAGAAATAAAGTGACTACAAAATTCTCGAAGAAGAGCAAGTTGTACAATATTGCTACGAAATGATGGGTATTTAACAGCTAATTCTATTTCGAGTAACTATCACTCGACAATCCCATTTCTACTGCAGATGTCTACCATTTTCATACAAGATGATCTGAGATGTGGAACATCTAGATTCAGTTTAGAGAGATCCTCAATGTCATCAACATTCTTGACACATTTCTTCTGGCTTTAATAATTGCTGTCGCGAAACACTAAACTACTATATGAAAGTAAGAAATACGTTATTACAAGTAATGTTTAGCAGGGCTATCATATAATATTTTTATTCACCAAATATATTTTGTTTATTCATATTGCTTAACATAAGGAGACACTAATAAAGCGCCATTATTTTGTATCACCAAAAAGGCAACACTGTTTTCGCCAAACGCCAAAAAGGAGAGCATTATTTGTTTGATCTAAGAATAAAGATAGGTCAACAAATCTTCGCCTCCCGACAAGTTTGGTAAAGGAAACGACGGATTTGCTCTCGACAAGTTTTGGAGCTACGATTACGTATTCGTCTCTCGACTAGTTTGTGATACAACTACGATTCGTCTCTGTCAAATTACTGTATTATTTCTGCTAATAAAGGAATTATTATATTCCTCTGTTATTCCACACCTCATTCAGCGAATCTCCCCGGAATCAACAACGTCTCAGAAAATAATATTTTTCGATCTTCAAATTTTTTCACGACAACTGCCATTTTATTCACAAGTTCATAAGCTTTTTTAGTGCTTATGGCCTTCCTTAATTTTAGATCCATCAGTGTGGCCACAAGTCAAAATACTGAATGGAGTAGGACTGCGCGTAAAATAAGTTCATACATGGATAGGAACTTCTGGTTACCAAAAAGAAATTCTATTGCAACAGTTAAATAACAAATACTACAAAAGTATTAAAAAAAAAGGGTCTTCACTTGAAAGACTAGTCGAAATTATTGCTCCACATTGATCAATCAGACAATTATTATTGGCATTGTAATTCGAATTCTTAGACATATATGCAACATACTAATATGACTCAAACTAATATATATTATGACTTCCTGTTTGACGTATTTTTTCCGTTAAAAGCTAAATTCGTTTCTCTTTTAAGGCTTAATCCGCTTGATCCATCACTCTAGCTAAGAAAGAAGATATTTTAGCATTAAATTCTGAAATTCTTCCATTATATTTTGGTGTCTCATAAAACTTGCATTTATCACATTCCAAAATGTAAAATTGCTACGCTCAATTTGATAATTTAATAAGTAGCTGCTCACCTGTTCATACCTATAAGTCTTAAAATCAGAAACATTTTACAAAAAATTTTTTAGTTAGCAAAAGATGAGGAACAAGATGAATTGAAGCATTGTTTTTACAGTATTGTTGTCAAAAAAAATGTCGAATTAGATTTCTAGAGTTGTGTATTCGGCTCCTATTTTTTAAAAATTCCATTGCATCTTTCTGCTGAAAATTTTCTTGATGAATTAAGCTGATTTCGAGATATGAGCTATCTAATCAAAAGTGTTATTTGTTCCGAAGTAGGAAAATGCTTTTGTAATTGAACGAATTTTTCATTCCCACAAAAATCGCTTAAGGAATTCATGGCTTAGCTTCGCAAACGAGAATTTATGAAGGAATCTACCCATTCTTGCTGCAAAGCTTTGGTGAGTGAAAAGACCAATGTAGTAGACAGGTACTGTTGCAAATGGCATAAGGAAAAATCAAATAGATTAGTGTTGGAGAAGTGAGTGGATTAGTTTTTAATACGTTTTCTTTCGTCGACAGAAGTATCGGATTAGATTCTAGAGTCCACCAAACAGGTCCTACATATGTTCTTAAAGAGATAGCAGCGGTATGGATGGTATATCTCTCGATTTGAGGCATAGTGGACCACTGACAACAATCTATCCGGAAAAGAGGATATTTCAGAAAGTCTTTCTACTTTTTTTTAAGGATACATCTGTTGCCGTTCACCACAGAACGAAATCTCATAAAGATGGTAGCCTTACAACCTGAAGACTCGACCTATCCAACATGGTCTCTATCCTGATAATTTCCGCTTTTTCGAGCATGGTAATATTGTCTCACGTGGTTGGTGTAGTGGTGGCGACAGATTCAGATCCGTTCAGGAGAGTAGACAATATGACGGCTCTTTTTTTTAGATGTTGTTGCTGGGTTCTAATTGCACGATTGGACATGTTCAGACCATCGATTTGATAATAAAGTGTTTATCTGTGGAAGAACTGAGGAGAGCTGTGACATGTTGGTCCATACACTTCTTTCAAAGGTTGTAGAGTACCTCTGCGATCGTCGGAATATGCGCATGACTGAATCTTCTGTGCCATGTTAATCCACCACTTATTTTTGATATCCCAAAGTTTCTATTGTTGAATTTACTAAATGCAAGGTGAAAAGTTGTTTTTCTTGCAATGATTCATTGAACGATCTTTGGATTTCTTTGCCGAAAACTTAAAGCACTCTGCGAGGGAATGCTGGATGCTATTTTTGATGAATTGCAGAGTGCTCTATGAGGTAGTCTGGTTTGGAGTTAGCTTGAAAGTTATCTCTTAGTGAGTAAAGTTATTTCACCCGTAGTAATTTCAGGATTATTGGCTGAGCTCTTTTCTGGAATTCCTCTGTTTTAGATTTATTTGAAAGTGCAGGTTGAGCCTGCATTTGCACAAGGTGGTGGTTTATTTAACATCCTGCACTAGGCATCACATGTGTATAACGAAAATCGCGAATGCATCTTTGGCGCACTAAGATGTATTTGGTGGTATGTCAGTGTTTTGGATTAAGGATACATCTAGAAGGCTGTCTGTGTCGAAAAAATCGAATTATAATATGTCAAAAAAAATTTTATTAAATCATAAATTAAAGATTGTCTTAATTAAATATTCCTTAGATAAATATAAAACTGTTTTAAAATTGTATGTTACGCAAGCAATCATTTATCCGACACTCATTTTCCAGCTGTGCTTGTCTGCACACTGTGGAGTGTTACAATTGTTAGTGTATAAGCTTTTAAAATCGAAGTATTCTCACAAGCAACTAGGATGTGTCAAATGCATGTAAAGAGTAAAGATCATCTGATAGACAGCTCTTCACTCACTGTAATCATGTGCTTGCTGTAAGCCAATACCCACCAAATACCCTTTGTCCGGGTTAGTCTTTGAGGGCCGACAGCTTCAAATCATTGGTCTTACATACTACTCATTCGTTCCCTTTCACTGATATCCTATACTTGTAGTTAGTCTATACGATACGAAATTATCTGTATACTGTCATTATATACAAATACTTTGTGTAACGTAGTTTTTCGCACATAAAATTACAGTCCATTATAGAAGACGTTTGTCCCTACAAATTCCGAACCACAACCAGAACAATACCCTGACAAATCCTTACAACTTCTCAACAAAATTTTTTGGTGCCCAGGGTGTGCTAAAATGTCTGGCAGCATTATAAAGACAGCTGAACTGGCCAAGAAGAAGGTCGAGAAACTTATCTGTGAAGTTACGAAACCGAACTTTCGCCACCGAAACCCTTTATATCAAAGGAAGAGCTGAGTCCAAAAACTGAGAAAAGAAGAAGAGGAGAAATATAGCTGACTACTGTGAAGCTTAATAAGTGATATTAACTATGGACTGATTCTACAATGACTATGTCAGCAGTACACCAATAAGAGATGTCCCCATATCACGCCACGATCGATTCACAACAGCTATCAGATCAAAATCGTGCTAGTTGTGGAATTCAATCTTGGAAATTTAACCAGTCTTAATTTTTAAATTTGATTTTATCTAGTAATATCCCTTGATACTGCTGTGCTACTTTTGAGTAAACAATAAAGTCGTGATAGTAATGACAAAATGGAGCAGCAACTTGGGGATAAGGTTTCTATATCCTACCGATAACTGTGAAACACCTTATTTATTCTCGACTAGGTATGATTTTTTTGATAAGCGATTATGGGGCTTCGAATTGTATTCATTTGCAAAATATCCCAGGCATCCAAAAAATTGAATTACTTGATGTTTTGACTGGAAAAATAGTAGAGTTATGATATCGCTCTGGAGAACGATATCATAAGGGAATTAAATGAAAAATATGATAGATCCTTTATTATAAAAAAATCATTCTATAATGAATTAAACTCAATCAAAAGAATCACTGAAGCGATGGAAAAAATTGTACACTGGACTTACAGCACTTTCAGTATAAAAGTTTTAATTGGAAGCTTTAATTTAATTGAAAATTATCAACGGGTATATTACACAAAATTAAGGAAGTAACAAGGGATTTGGACAGCTGATAAGCTAAAAGAATTCCTGACAGAAGTATTGCATCGAAAAGAAGTCACTAAACACAGATTTTTGATGGAGGAAAATTACTGATTACTGACAGGACGGAAGACAAAACGGATTTCATGTGATACTAGGGAGAAACATCAGCCTTAATCACTCTGAAGCAATTTAAACAAAACGGTCCCCAAAAAAAAGCTGTCTACGGAATCAAAGAAATGGCTTCTATGAGTAAAAAGTAAAACTAGAGCAAAAAAATAGAGTGAAATTCTACGATTAATAAAACTAGAAGTGTTATCATTGCAAAAAATTTCTTCAGCATAAATTGACCATATTCTTAATTTCATTTAGCAAATGGAGAAAGAAGCCAATCTCATTGCTCAGCAAATGAGATTTGTTTATTCCTACACGTGAAATATTCACTTCCTGTGCCTTAGTCTTGAGGCACAGACTACCGAAGTTACTAAAACTGGCGGTACAAATGGTTTTACAGATACTCCGCCTGCATGCGCCTAAAGTAATTTGTTTTGTAGTATAACACAATTAGGAATATCCTTCAACTCTAAAGACTAAGTAACAGCCCATTAAGGCACAACAAAAACAAAAACAAAGCATTCGTACGCTCTATAAAGATATCTACTACAGATTCTTTCACAAATTTATAAGCCACTCATCGCTGGGAGCATTCACAAATCGACTTGCAAAACCAAGTAGATTGCTAAGTCACATGCGCACTTAAACTCCACCCGGTGCATTAGCCTTAAGGCACAGGACTACCGAAGTTGCGCAAAGCACCAATGCGTGAGTGGCCCAATGGCGGTACGCAATAAGACCACCATATTCACTTATCGCACACCCACATGTGGCTTGGGAGTCGGTTGCTCTTCCCACACTTTGTTCAGTAATCGATTTAATTTGCAGTAAGGAATTATGTCCAGCATCCCATCAGGATTATGACCGATGAAGTGCAAAGCAGTTCTGCGTTAGTTATGATGAGAGTGATGATGCATCAGAGGTGCGAATGTTAGAAGTCTTACACTGCTTAATATCTTCGTGATAAAAACAAATTCATACCATTCCCTGATCGGTGATAAAAACATTTGATACAGGATACGATTACGGATAAGAGAAGTCTCAACAAACTTTGATACTAACGTATCATTATTAGACTATTTAATTATTAATTCTTTGTCAAAACAACGGTCCACTTTTTCCATTTTTCTGTTATACAAACATCAATATAAATGTAGGTCAGTTTAGAAACTTGAATTTAAGAGGATTTACCTTCTTTCTCTTCCTTCTCTCTTATTCGGTTTGAGTGAGATAGAACAAAATATGTCAAGCTAAAGCTGTGACTGTACATTTGTATATCAACAGCATATCCTTGCTCTGAAGTTGTTTGTAGGAAGAAGGAAAACTGGTAAACACTGTAGGTAGGACTTAGTGATGATGGTTTGATTTACAGCGGATAAAGCGGTAGGTGTTTAAATAACAATGTGAACTTGCACTTTCATGAAAATTTGAGAACCAAAGCGTAAAACCTTCAAAGGATTTCACTATTCTTCTGTTATTCGAATTCGTTTTGCAAAGAACGATACAGCACGATAAGTAAATGCTTGAGTGCTCAAAACATAAAATCGAAATTGTTGAAAAAAACTTTCCAAGAAAGATAAGCTTTAAAGTTTCCAAAACATAATTGATTGAAAGGACAAGGTCCTCTTCATGAAATTTGGTTTTCGGAAAGCTTCTGTCAACACCTGGTTTAATTTCTTTGTGGTAAATTATAAGAATGCAATATGGTGAGGCCTACGAACCGTCCTTCCACCATTTGATTAGAAAGTAGTTAAACGATATTATCATTATTCATTATTCATTGTCATATTCGTTTTCCCAGAAATGTGGAAAAAAAATAGGAGGAGTACAAGGACTTTTAAATGTTTAACATGATTCTTTTCAGAAATCTGGCAATAATAAATGCTTTTCAGAAAACAGTTTACAGTGTCTTCCAATTTTTATTGAAACCAAAAAATTATTTAATAAAAAGCAGTAGGACTGGAACAGTTCGGAAAAAAAAAAATGTCTCGATTTCCCTTTATTTAGTGCGAAAGTCAGATATCAAATAGTAATGTGAAATAAAGAATTTATAAATAACATTTACCCTGCAAACTATATCATTCATTTATTTGTCTTATGAACCTATAATGTGTTGGGTAAATTTCCACGTATTTGAACAGCCTTGCTCATATTTCCCCTGCTATCTTTTGGCTCAAAATCAAGGATACCAGCAACTGGTCCCCAGTTATGCGTCCTTTCATCCTTTGTTATCGTTGCCGCATCGCGAAGTGATGTATTTGTATCCGAACGAGCTGTCACCTATAGCTAATATTCCGTTTGTTATAATAAAGCAAAAAAGGATGGAATTTTCGAATGCAGATGATATTAAGTGCATTAAGATTTTGTATATTTTACTGAAAGTTTCATTATTCTACTTTTATAAAAAAACCATTGCATATTTTTATCAGCCTGGTTTGCATTATGCTTACAGGACTGCTCGAATTGTTCTTCGTCGTTTCTTGTTGATCTGAGTAAAGCGCACGCTTGTCTTCTTCATACCTCTTTCTCCATTCCGTAAGCATTTCCTGACTCATAAGTTTCTGTAACACCATTCCTTCAATGATTCTATAATTTCAACAAATTCAATAATCATTTCCTCTTTAACAAATTACATACCTTATACGTAACAGATAAATATTTAAATATTTTATTTTCAGCTCTTTTTTTCTCAACACATTTGAGATAATGTAATCTTTGTAATGGTATTTTCGACTTCAATGTCTCATTTACAGCTCTGAAAATTTTAAGATCATTTTGAAGTTGAAAAAATTGAGCATTTATGAGAGATAGAATTACTTCTTGGAAGATGCAAAATACTTATGATATTTCTGGATTGAAGGATATTTACAGATTTTTTAATCTAAACGCTAACTTAAGCTTTTATGTCATGAAGTGGGTAAAATTTTAATTTATGGGCCCGAATTGCGATGTACAAAACCATTTTCAATACTAACTTCACTGATTTCAGATCCTCAAACTCTTTCTCTTTGATAGTAAATACAGATAACTTTTTGGCAGCATTGAATATTGGGCTTCTCTTTTGTGTTCCCATCTTTTCTCGATTAGCTGTAATACATATGAAGAAATAATTCTGAGTGTTTTCCGGAATCCCAATTTTGTCTGTGACTTAAACAACAGAATTATAATAGAATTCAATTTTTTAATACATTATTCATCCAACAAACTTCAGTTCTTTCACATTCCGAAATGCAAAGCTTTTCAATAATAATCCCTTCTTAGATGATGAGAATTTTGTCTCTTTCAAATTTTTTGTTATCCACAACTATTTGGTTCTAAGGTTGACATTTTAAAGAATGAAACAAAAACTAAAGATTTTTTTGAGAAATTTTTGTAATATTCTGCTTTTGAAATTGAATGACAGAGATTGAGACAATAAACTGCGCTCCAAATAGGACTGAATAAAATTAGCGTGAGTCAGTGTATTCAGATGGCGTAGTGATAAGCAATAAAATAATGTTAAAAGTGCCATGGCAATGTTATCATGTCCAGAAGCAATTGTTTTATTTCTGTCATCAGTTGACAGAGCTTTCTCAATCTTTCTCTGATGCTGATGTGATCGGCAATTCACCATCCTTTGTAGCAGTAGTAGCAAGGTTGGTGCTTCTGGGATCAAATTTTCGCCTCACATTAATTTGCACCAGTGGAGCCTGGTACTGAACAGTGGATGTAGAATTGCTGGGTGTAGGTGCATTCTCAGTGAAGTCGATACACAGCGTCATATGGGCTGGAATCGTGCATGATGACGAGAAGTAGTTCCGTACTGCACTCTGCACCACGTGACGTACCATCTACAAGGAAAAGAGTTTCTCTTGGGAACAGTGATTAATTCAGTAATAATTGAATGGCATTCAGTGACATTACTACTCAATAAAATCTTAGAAATCTGCAAATTTCAAAATATTTCTACAGAATTTTTTAATATAATAAATCAACCAACTGCATGATCTGAGCAGGCATATTCGGTATCAAATTCTGAGAGTAATACACTGCTTCTCGGTCCACTGTCACATTTCTTGCTTCCTGTTATTGACGACATCAACCGCCTTTTAGATATACAACAGACATCAAATGACAAATAGCCGATTTCAATTAGTTTTGTACTTACGAAATATTCAAAATCTCCGATCTCTTGGGTTTTCGTAAAATATTTAATTTAATTTTAATTTTGTACTTCTCGTCATCTTAGTAAAGTTAGACAATTTTTACAGTTTGTGTTGCAGATTGTTGGAATCTTCCCATCATTGTGATACATAAGGCAAAATAAGTTCATCCAATCATTTATGAGGTATTCTGTTCAAAATAAGGTTAAATTTTTTGTTTTCCACTTAGTTCAACTGAAACTAACAAAACATAAATTTAGGTAATGACCTGTAAATTTTTTACTTGAATTTGAATAATTGCCAAATGTTCCTGAATGTTTAATTTTACGGAATAGCTCAGACAAATACTGCTTTGTCTTGGTAAAAGCTGAACTCGATTGACGGAAAAATGATGTTGGAAAAAAGAAATCGGATAAAGGATGAAGATATAGCAGGACGAACTTACCATTTGCTATATATCAGATAATGATTGATGACATGATCTGACCACCAATTCAACATAAATTCTCAAAATTAGAAACTGCTCGCCTTCGAGTTTCCTGTTTTAAAAACTAAACAGGAAAGATCAGCAAATGATGTATCAATGGAAGGAATTCCACTGATACGGATTACCAGCAAGAAGCGTAAATCAGAGTTAAAAGAAAACTGACTGAGTTAATGATTGCAGAAATGAGAAGTTATATTTGAAATTTTTAGAAATTTGGAACCAGCTTGTTTTACAGCATGGAAAAATATGCGAAAGTTTGGACTGAATAAATGAAATTGAAACAAAAATAAACAAAGGAATTTTCTCCTAAAAATTAAACTTTACTGTAATTAAAGTTTGAATTAATGCAGAGAAAAATATGAGTCGGTAACAAATCGAAAAAGCGAACTTTGCAATTTACATAGTTAGTTTGCATTGTTTCATTTGCTTTGCTCAATATAATTAAAACTTTGATTTTTAATAAATTTACAATAAACATTGCACTTCAAGTCACACAATTCTTCATAAAGTAATAATCCATAGCGCAGAGGTCTCATATTCAGTATATATTTTATGACTAACAAAAAAATATTGGCTTTACTAACAGTTTAATTCATCATTTAATTCAGTTGCATGAGGATTTTATTTCTTGTAACAAAAACTGAAGACCCAATTTATGACATAACTTGTAAGTCTGGCTCAAAAATGAGAAAATATGTCACTTGACTGATCACTAATAACTATAAATCATTTAATAAAGCAGTCGATGCAACACTTTCTATTCATAAAGTATCTCCTTTCAAATCAATTAGAGAGTTTGAATAAGTTTTCTAATTTCAACAGCACTTTTAATCGTGCTAAAAGTAAGAAATGGAAGTGCACAGCGCAATTGGCTCAATTATAAACTTAGCAACAAAAATCCAAATTATAAACTTTGAGACTTGGAAAATAAGAACAAATTTTTACTTGCTGAAATTTTGTTAAATCGGATAATTATGCAGAATTTTGTAGAAAAACTTATTACTGTTATAATTTCATCTATTCTCAATCGTTGAATCCTTGACTGAGTCAAATTTTTTTGACACCTGAGCTTGTTTTGGCTAGTTATTTTTATTATTAGACATATTACAAAACTCGATGAAAGTTGATCATCACAATCATTAATGTTAGCAAATTTATCCGGATCTATTTGTCACACAATTCTCCCTCAAATTAAAACCCTTTCTATCAATGAAGTTTAACTAAAAAGAAAAGTTTTAGAGAAGAAACAGAGAGAGGGTAAAGACTGTTGAGAAGATATGCAATATGACAAAGAAGGAATGGAGAAATACCGGTTTTCCTCGATTCAAATTTTAATTTCAACTTCAGTAGTATGTTTGAATGTTGGATGCATTTCTGTTCCAGTAAATTTTGTCAGTATAGAAATGACTTGATTAACTAGTTTATTACTCCTGAAGCACAGTGATTAAATTTTGGACTTCCGTAAATTTATTTTGCTATCTTCTTTCACCCGCAAAATAAGATCTGCCTGCAGGATCAATGAATTGTTAGTCTTGATGAAGTTCCTATAATTAGTTTGTGGCTTTACATGATCAGTAAAATATAAAATATATTACACCTGATTATATAATTGAATTACTTGTGTGTGTGTGTGTGTGTGTGACATTCGTGCAGAGAATGTATGCTTGATTCTTGTAAAAAATGTATATTTCAAACTCGTAGCAATTGATCTTATCAGAAACTTTTTTACGTAACCTCTGAAATGAAACACAGCCAGAAGTTTAACACGTAGATTGATCTCAATTTGGGGTAAGAAATGTTTTTTATAATGGGAATCATTCAGGTATAACAAAAAAGAGAAAACTATAATATTAAGATTGGAAAGGTAACTTCCGAAATGTTTAAGATTTGAGAATAGAGCACTGAGTGGTTAAACAGCAAACAACAGGTGAAAGAGATAAGAACACCAGAGGATATTTGTTATTAATTTTTTATTCATAATTTGTTTATTTTCTGTTTAATTTTGTTTATTTTTTTCTGTTAATTTTCTATTTAATGTTAAATGAACGCATTAATAGTTAATGGTTACTATTATCAAAGTAGAAAATACTTTACATTATATGTAACAACTACTTTTTCTCAAAAATAAGTGTAATTTTTCCTTAATATTTTGTTAATTGATTCCACAGTTATTTTCCTTTTCTATTTTTAGCATAAACAAAGGTCCTTTGGAAATCTAAAAAAAAAAAAAAAGAAAGGGAAAAAAGAATTATGCGTGTTTGACGAAATTCAAGCCACATTTCCGATGTAGCAACAAATTATTTTATACTAGACTGAACAAAGAGAAATTCTCTTATCAATTCATCATTTTTTTCACTGTGATAACAAACTCTTCTACCATCCAACATTTCTGCAAACATAATATGAAAATGCTGAACCTGTATAAAAGCTGTGTTCAGCATTTAGAAATGATCTAACCACATCTTATCATCACTTTTTGATCAGGAATATCAAAAGTAAAATGGTTCTAAACCCAAGAGATAGGTTAACAAAAAGAGCATAGCTCGTGCTTTCCAGGACAAAAAAAAAATCATTATGTTGCAGATAGACGTTTTTCATGTCAGCCTGAAATTATTTCAATCAAACTCAGAAAATATACCTCATATCCGATCAAGCTTAATTTCCTATTTACTAGAACAATGCTCGTTGATAAATTGTTTTTCAGTATTTTTTTAAGAAATAACAATTCAACGCCAATAACAAAACAATTCTTTTCCTGATGATTTTCTGAATCCTTTCCCGTTCTACACGATATTACAATGGAAAAAATCTCCCTCAATTCTCAATCGACACGAAGTGCTTATTTGTTATATAAACGTAAGCAATCATTAGTCTTTAGATTTAACTACCAATGCCCATCTCGGAAATCTAAAAATGGAGGTAAGTAGAATGCCGAACTCCTTTTTCCCACTCTGTTTAGGAAAAAAGTGACAATGATTAAAATAAGGAGTGCTTTTATAAGTAAACAAGCTTATGCTATTATCAATTCTGAAAGACTAAAAACTGTTCCATCGCCTGTCAAATTCGATTAAAATCGTTAGTTACAATGACGGCCGGAGATAATGGCAGTTCACTCATTACTACAGTTCCCAATCTTTGTTGTATTACTTCCAGGACTACATGCAGTTTTCAATTTATTGTCGCGTACCTTCCGAACTTTTTCTTTCCCAGCTTGCTGGATTACTGTCAACTCTTATAGTTTTTTTTTTTTTTTTCAATTTGAAGACTTTATCATCAAATTTTTGAAATCAATTCTCATTTGAGGACCGTAGCAAAGAGTGATCAAGATAGACGGTTCGACTTCTGATCTTTCAAAACAATAACTGCGGGAGATTTCACCTGCCAGTCAACTGCCCCTGACACATTATCATGCCTTATAAGCTAATATCGTAATTGATTATTAAGAATAATCTTTTGTTTTCAAAATTTGTTGAAGGGTGTCAGTTTTGTCCGAAAGCACAGTTAATTAGTCCCAAATTAATTGCGAATCTTCGAAATGCAAAAATTAATGAATCTTTTACTGGATTTCATTACGAAACATGGTTCGCTAACAATTCTGGCGTCGAAATTAATCAGCTTATGTTCTTGATAAGTAAACAGAAACTTTCCACATTCATTGGTCAGCAGGTCCAGTCACCTATTGTTAAATATTTCCTTTTATTATAATACTATTTCTGCATAATTCAGCCAAATGAAAAATGAAATTTTAGAAAACTGGTTTCCTAGTAAATAGTTAAATACTCTGCATTAAGAAGCAAGTGAACCACCTCTAAATTTAAATAATTTTCTCGTCGTAGTAGTACTTATCAATCTTTTAAATTTGACACAATATACGCCAAAGCCTTCCCTCCTTCTTCGTCATATCAGTCAATTCTTCCAAGTTCGGCGTGTTCACGTCAGTGATTATCAATAACATTGAATAGTAACAAGTCGATGAAAAACAATTGCACGGAAAGGTTGGCCAGACCGGAGGCATTACTAATTCTTCCACCTTCATTCAACATCGATCGCTAACTATAGCTTCCAATATTTTAATCACAGAATGGAATAAACATACTATCGGCAAACGTGATGGACACGTCGACTGGGCGACACGTGGATACAAATTCAGGTAGTTATTGACGGATATTCACAGTGAATCTGGACTAGCTGCAATATACTCGCCATACCAACTGCCATGATGACAAGGTTCTGTCACCCTGTCAGAGTTACCAATGCAACAGCCGCCATTACAAGCCCCCACTTTGAAGTTACGGTTTGGGGTAAATAGCTGCTGCAAATATTGATGCAAATGTGGCAAGGGGAATAATTCGCCCCGGGACTTCCCATAAATTTGCCGAAAGCCGGGAATATAGACCTCGCTATGATGCGAGTAGTAATTCCAAGTGCACTGGCACACTGCCAATTGGT